GTGATTGGTATTGATGTGTGGTTGGAAAAGTAAAGAAAAAATAAAGGGGAGGTGCTGTCAAAATTTTCACAGGAACTCCTGTGCAGTCTCGGGAAATCTATTATAACTTGATTTAGAAAAGTTGGAATTGAATTCTGTTTGTTGTGTTTGAAACTAGATTCATAGGGCTATAAACCATAAAAATTTCAGACCCTGTTTCTGTCTGTGTGATTTATGGTGATTTTTCAAAATTGACTGAAATTGCATATCTGTTCTGTCTTTTACTGGATGAAATAGCAATTTGAGGCTCAGATTTGACTGACTTGTGGTCTGAATTTTATAAATATGTCTTCTGAGAAATTGTACCCCTTTGAGTCTATTTTCTGACGGTATAAATTTTATCAATTTTGGACTTAAGAATCTTGATATATGATTTTTCAAATAGTGTTGTGCAAAACTGAAAAAAAATCTATTTTTCTACGATTGTTCTTATTTTCAATTTCCACTTTAAGTTCGGAGTTGGTAAATCATTTTAGTATGATGTTGAGTGGAAGTAAGGTTTGAATGAGAGGACATGGAGTCTTAGAAACCTTCATTTCTTCATGCATTTGGGCTTGGTATCACTAGCCTTGTAATATAATGTGTGATCACAGGACTCGAGTGAGTTCATGGGGACGAATCAAGGAAAGTGAAGTGTTGCCATTGATGGTGAGTATACCACTCCCTCCTTTGTTGCTTAAATTGGTTTATTTGTGCTTGAAATCTGTGATTGGAATGACTGTGAACTTTGTTTATTCTGAATGAGACGAGAGTGTACTTTATCACACTCGTTCTCTTGCCTATGTAACTGATTACTGTGTAAATTTGAATCCGTTATCTGCGCTTGATCTGATGTCGTTTGGAGGTTTTCTGGCAAGGTATAGCTGTTGTGCTAGCTTGTTGTGTTGTCCAGCACCATCAGGGACAAAATCCTGAACCGAGGCTCCCTGATAAAATATAACCGTTGTGCTAGCTTGTTGTGTTGTCCAGCACCACCAGAGATAAAATCTTTGACTTGGGGCTAAGGTATACCCTGAATTTCTGGTATACTCGAATATTACCACCCACTGTTACTGTTGAGATGTTCGGCCCCAGTAAGGGGAATGTTTGGTAGACGAAATTTGGTATAAAGTGGGGTCTACGGACATGTTTATTCAATATACGTTGACGGAGAGTCCACAAGTTTGGATCAAGTACTACAATAGAAATTTTGGCTCTTGAGAGCCACTTGTATCCTTTCCATTTGAGGTGTTTGTTCATTTCCTGATATGTTGGCTATATGTGCCTTGAAAGTGAAATGCCATGATTCGTGACTACTTGTATTTTGGTACCTCATTGAACGTAGGCTTACCCCCTTCCAGTTATCTTTATTTTTCCTTACAAGGAACAACACTTTTGGACCGTGATATTGAAGAAAGGGTCGAGCTAGTATAAACGTTCTCTTGATAAGCTCTTTTGTCATCAAAACCCTAATTTGTCTTTTAATAAAGTATCACGTTTTGATTTGTAAAGTTTTCAATGTATGTGTATAAGTGTTTAACCATGTATATTAAGTGTATTCGTTTGAGATGGTATCTTTGGATTCGTTGAGATACTATTTGCAACCATTGGACGAGCGGACGAGCGCGACGTTTGAACAATGAAAGAAAAATTTCTGGCGGGAACTGTTCATCTAATCCGGCCGTGTATCCGGCCAGTTCTTGGCCGGATATTTGGCTGGATTAGTAGAGGATTTTGAAAATTTTGGGTTGCTCACTGCCTCGAATCAGGCCAGAAATCCGGCCAGATCTTAGCCAGATTGTGATGTGACCGCTTTCCGTTTGCGTTTTCATTTTCATTTTCGTTTCCATTGAGGCGTTTAATCGAAGTACCATTGTACCTTACGGTTTAGAAATCATGTTTTCGACTTAGTAGTTTTCGATTGGTTGTTTTCTTGGGGTTCGATTGTGCGCTATGTAGGGTTTTTGTGATTTGACTCCGTAGTTCCAACGAGAGTTGGGCAGGCGGTCCGTCGAACCCTTTGGTTCGCCTTAGGGGAAGGTGGGACTGTCACAACTTGCATTTCTTAGAAGTGAACCTACTGTGAACCTTTTTAAAATATTTCAATGGAATCGCTATGGTGTAAGATTCGTTTTGTAATCAGTTGTTTTCTTCTTTGTAATCTTGCAAGTTTTGAATTAAAATGCCATTGAAATCAATGATGGAACCATTAATGGAACCAATGGAGGCTAATGGGAGCCATAGCTTCCCCCAGGTTTTAAAAATTTTAATTCATATTATGTAAATATTTGTGTAAAACAAAGTTGGCCCTCCTAATTTTTTACAATTTTAGTTTTTATTATGAGAATATATATGTGTGTGTGTGTGTATATGTGTGCATGTGAATTAATTACATTTGAATTAATTTTTTTTCTTAAAAAAGTTATTTATTTTTAACATCCCTTTATAATTAAAGTTAATAATTGATATTTTTAGATGTCATATATTTAAATATATAAAAATTATTTCAAAATAAAATACTTACAAACATTATGCATTCGGTTTGATAATTTTGTGCAACGATGCAAACATTTTTTTACATCAATTAACTTTTAGTATAAAAATCAATATTGGTGGTTTAATTAATTCTGTTGAATTTTGTGGAGTTCATGCTACAAAAAAAAATGTTCAATGAAACTTGTATTTCTTGGAAGAAAACTTGCTAAATCTTTTTAAAATATTTCAGTTGAATCACTATGGTGTAATATTCGTTTTGTGATCAGTTGTTTTCTCTTTTGTAATCTTACATCTTTAGAATTAAGATACCATTAAAATCAATGATGGAACCAATGGGGGTTCATGGGGGCCATAGTTGCCCTCCCCCCAAGTTTTAAAAATTTTAATTCATATTGTGTAAATATTTATGTAAAACAAAGTTGGCCTTTCTAATTTTTTATAATTTTAGTTTATATTATAAGAATATATATATATGTGTGTGTGTGTATATGTGTGCGTATGTGTGTGAATTAACTACCTTTGAATTAATTTTTTATTTAAAAAATTATTTATTTTTTACATCCCTTTTTAATAAAAATTAATACTTGATATTTTTAGATGTCATATATTTAAATAGATGAAAATTATTTTAATAACACATAAAAATAATTATGTTAGGAAAAATTTTAGTCCCTCTAGAAAAAAAATTTTAGTTTCGTCGCTGATTGAAATACTTGTAAGTGAGATTCATTCATGGTGAGAGTATGATATATAGTCTTTTTTCATTGTATTTTATTTGTGCGATGACAAATGAAAATGGGTAAAATAAGTTAGTGATCATCAGTTTTTGTGAATGATCATGAGAGTAAAATACATTATGACAATAAAATACGTAGAATTGTGAAAATTGTAATTCAAATAGTTTTCTAAATTTTGGATATGTGATTTTCATAGTTGCGAGTTTGTTAAATTAATAGTTAGTTATTGCTATCAGTCATGTGGTAAGTGTGAGTATTCCTATTAGTGATATGGTAAGTGTCAGTAATAAATGAATTTACAAATATCATTTTGCAAGGGTGGTTATTATCTGTTAGTTAAAATTTAGGAGTTTTAATTTTGTGGGTTAATGGGTCACGTAAATTGAAGAGTGAAAAGGGATAGGGAAAAGATAAGGATTATTAAATTAAAATAAATCCAAAATTATAATAAAAAGGGATTCAGATTTCTGATGCCTGTGGATACAAATATAGATAGTATATAAATCTAAACACTCCTCCTCCTCTCTAACTGCCCCCATGTCCTTTTTTTTTTCTTTTAATTTTTTGTGTTTACAATAAAGTCTTTTTTAGCCTCTTAGTGTTTCCTAATAAAAGTTTCTTTCTTCCTGGGAAGGGAGGTCAATTGGTCTCCTTTGATCTCCCTCCGTCTCATGTCTAGTGAGAGATTTAGTAATTAGTCTGTTTCTTTTTATTAGATCTACATATCTTTTCGAATTTGGTTGTCGGATCTTAGATTTCTTAGATTTATCTTGTCAGATCTTACCTTAATATCTGAACTTAAATCAGTTCATTAGTTGATCTGAGAGAAGCAAGCAATATAGTTAGAAGCATACACAGATGATTTTGAGGTTATAAATATTTTATCTTTTGAGTTTTTTGGAGTTTCAATATAATATTCTATTGATTTTCTAGATCCATAAACTCGTCAAATCTATCTAGTTGTATCTGTATATGGATCTATTTGTTTGTATCTGTGTATGGTTGATGTAATTTCTGTCATTAGTACACATTAGTACAGAGTGAAATGATATTTTTTAATCCAAAAAAAAAAAGATGTATGTACAGTGTATATATTTTCTCAAGAAAATACTGTAAAGGCTAATGCGAGACAGCAGCAAAATGGAGTTGCAGTTGAGCTTCGAGAGCCCAACAAGATGGATTAATCCTTAGCCTGATCCAGTGATTTGTAGGATACATCACATAAGGACATGATGCTCAAGACATTTCTCACTTCTCCCAAAGTTTCCACTTCTGAAGGCCCATTTACTGATCACCTTCCCACCCACACCCATGACTTAAAATTGGCTCAGTTTAAACTCCAGTTTTTTTTTTTCACTCCTCTAACTTTCTTCTTGTGTAAATACCGTATTTTTGTAATTGCTTGTACTAAATATATTTTTTACTTCAATTTCTGTTAATGATACTAATATGTGTTCCTCACCTAATTTCCATGGCACATGTTATTCTCATTCCTTCAGTTTTTCATTTTTCCCAGCAATTAGTTGTATGATTGGCAACTTCTGTACACTTTTTTTCTGTTTTAGGGCAAAACTTTTCTTCTCTATGATTAAGTTCTTCAACATTTTAGTTGTTACATTATTTACCAGTGTATATGATAGCCTAACTCCAGTAGGAGTGCTGTCAAATCAATCTTGTTCCTTTCTCATTCATCAGCTCTCTCCGTCTTTTGTTTTTTTTTTTTTGTTTTAGTTCTTTTGACAACAAAAATTTAACAGGACTACAGGAGTGACATTTCATATAGTGAACAAAAGTGAGAATGCACAATCTATAATCTAAATACTACTAGATTATCGGTACAAACTCTTGACACTGTCCACCCAAATTACATCAAGTTGTTAACCATAAGTTAAGGACAAAAAGAAGAGAAAGAAATCTAACAGTAGTTCAATACATCAATCTGATCACTGGATGGCATATCAGTCGTGATCTTGAGGCCCCGGTAAAAGGTCTAACTGCAGAAACAGTAGCTGCAGATCATCAATCTGAATAATCCTGTATGCTGAAAATCATGAAACAAATGATCACCAAGCCAAAAGTGGCTAATAAAAGCTCTACCCCAGAACTTGCGGCTTTGCCAATTTATGTCTCACTGTACAGAAAAACTGAAAATAGCAAAGCAATAAAGCCATTTGCTGTCATGCACACTTTTCAAAGTCTAAGAGTGAGATCAGGTGCAAAATGATCCTCTTCCAGTGGTGGATTGAGCTCTGCAAAATCCAGGCCTGAACTTCCAGTTACTATAAAACTTTGAGGAGAGTTTCCAGGATCAGCTACCTGTCGAAAACTACCAGGCCATAACAGCTCTGGATCATCCTCCATGTATATAGGCTGAGCCATGTATGGCTGTTCAAATCGTGCACTGGTTCCAAAATCAGGTGGCCTTCCTGCTCCAGCTATTGCAAAGGCGTGGTGAACTGAAGAATGTGCTTTTATTCCTAAGGACCTGAATGAAGATCCATGCAAAGGCAGGGATGCCAAGCTGGCATATCTATCTGAGAATATTCCCATTCTCATTGCTCGTTTTGCCAATGTCCTCTCTCTCTTATGTGCATTTTGGTGACCACCAAGTGCCTGTGAGCTGTAGAATTTTCTTTGGCAGAAGTTGCATGGAAAAACTCGTGGGGTGGCAGCCACTTTGGTTTGGTTTGCGGGTTCATTGCTACTTTCACTTGTGCTGGAAACTGAAAATCCTTTTGATTCCTGGCAAGCTAATTCATTGGTACTTGATTTGAAGTTGAGAGATAAGTCGAGTAATAAATATTCTGAACCTAGTTCAGTTGTCACATCTGTAAGTTGAGAAGATTCTGACAAAATGCTCTTGCGGGGATCCATGAAGTGTTCTTGCACTGATATGTTGGATGCTACCTGGCTGCTAATATCAGAACTGTTTTCATAAGAGGCCTCCTTTTCAAGATCAAACTTCAGATGTTCCATGATGAGGAAGCTATTTGGAGCAAAATCTATACTCTGAATTTCTGATCACCAGATTGAAACATAATAGTCAATGTTGCCATATATGCCCTATTGATCTCATGGTCTGCATTCAGGGAAAAAGTTAAGAGAGTCAAAGATCAAAATCATACGTGCATAAAATTTCAGGCAAAGGCTAAACACAAAAGAAGTAGAAAGTACTCTGACCAAAAAAAAAAAAAAAAAATACTACTGGTATCCTTTGTCAGAAGAAATGACAACACATTCCCATTTCAACTACCAAAAAGAGATACTCTGCTATATAATCAAGGCTGCAACTAGTATAACAGTAAACAGCCATTAGAAGATTCAGAATACTGGGAATCTTATGTGCGGAATGATGGAAACCCAAGAAAAACAAACCTCAAAGCTGATATATAAACTTTCTTCTGTTATTTTTTCCAGGTACTATAAGATAACCTTCTGGCTTCTACAGGGCCAATGCCAAATTTTCTCGTCTTTATCCTGGCTCTGGCTCTGGCTTTGGATGATGGATTTGAATTGTTTTTGGTGAGGATAAGAGGGAAGATCACAAAACCAACTATTGTAACAAATCTATGAAATATGCTCTTTTCTTCCTTACCTGAAGATTATTGGAATCTTGTTTCTCAAATAATTTTCCGAGCCAAGCTAAGCAAGACACAGAAATTGACCAGTTTCAGTTACTCGATAATTGATGCATAACAAGGGAGCTACGTGTCAAGTAACAGTAATTTAATCTGAACAAACCACTTTGAAATCTAGTAAATTATGGAAAACACACACATAAGCAGACGAAGGAGTTGCATGAAAAGCTAAGTTGGCAGATGAAAATCAACTCTCTGAGAACAAAATCGCTAGCGAGTCCCCTGATTTACTGGGGACTAGTCGTCAAAGGGTTAAGTTGGGAGCTTCAGGTCCAACTCCTAATGTTCATGAGGAACTATCAACAAATTCTAACTATTTGGGAGCTTATGCATAACCCCAGCATCTGAAAAGGGGAAAAGGTTGAGGCTGCAAAGATATTTCCAGGAACAAAAGAATTACATGCAGTGAAATATCACAGTTCTCTAAAAGATTAATCCACCACCATAGATTAAAAGATATGAATCTATACACATCTTTCCAAAGCATCACAACTATGTTAATCTTAGAGATGAGAACTGCAAAATTAGTCTTCGATAAGGTAACAGCAAACAGCAGATAAAAACAAAACTCTGTACAAGATCAAGCCAATAACAGATTCAGAAATGGTTGTTTCAAACAGATATCTTACAACCAAATGAAAAACATGAAAAATAAAAAAGAAAGAAGCTGAATCATTGAGTACAGAATTATCAGGAGAACCTGAGCTGAAACTTACCAGGTAAAAGTAGTATGAAGCAGATTTCTGATTGATGAGCTCAATTCTAGTTGAACACCATTTAAGGACAAAGCAAAAGGTGTGGTCTTCTTGTGGTTCCGAAACAAATAGTTATTAAAGCCCCACTTGAGAGAAATGGAATGAAGAAAAAAAGAAATGAATGGTTGGAGAGAGAGGGAAAGGGAGGGATGGAGTTTGATGTTTTATTATAGGAAGGCAAAGGTAGAAAGAAGAGCTGGGTGCTGGGGGGGGGGTGAGGGGTGAGGGGTGGGGGACAGTGGTGGCTTTGTCCAAGGAGTCAGGGGAAAAGGAGGTGTTGGGGAAAAATTATGATAGAAATGAAGATGACATAATACTCTTCAAACAGCCTCCATCAATCTTCCCTGTTTGTTAAAAATTTGGGCTCTGTCCAAGAACGAAACAACTGCTTACTCAACTTGTACAATACAAAGAAGCCAAAGGGTGGGATCAAAACCAAACAAAAGTACAGCTTAACTCATTAGTATTTCCCAAAGATTCTAAAACTATGTGTTGCATCCCACTTGCAAAAGCGCTGCAGATAACTACTGAGCTGAGCTGAACGCACGGGATTGGGAAGGCTTACATTTTCGGTTTGATTTTATCACTTACTTTTCTGCATGTCCATCATAACTTCTTCTACATCATATCAAGCCATGCAAAACAAGTAGGCATCACCATTTAGTTTTTATCACTTCAGCCCACAAAAATACAAAATAGGACATGTCCCTCGAGGCCTCAAAACTTACTCTACTTTGTTAGTTCACACATCACAGTTCAGCCACTTCTCTCTTGGTTTTTCTATGAGACGCATCAAATGCTGCTGCAACTTGTCCCATGTCCAAACAACATGTGTTTGGAATGGCTTTTGTATTAGGTCCATTTTTTCATTTATTATCATCTTTTTGCGTGGAAATGACAAAAATCACTAGTGACATAAATTATTATTGAGCATTTTCTTACCAAATACCAAATGTTATTGATAGTAAATTAGCAGGACTTCAGTTTGATCAGATACTACAATAATTGACTTTTGTTAGTTTCTTGCACTAACCTGCTGCCACACACCTAACAGATAGAATTATATAAAAGAATAAATAAGTGAAGGAATTCTTTTTGGAGTGATCTTGGATAGATACAAGAGAAAAAAGGAAGGAATAGGAGAGTAAAGACCGGTTCAAGTGGTTAAAAGTACCATTTTCTCTAGCAATAAAACACTCTGATTTCTCCACATCCCATTTCTCTTCTCTCTAGATTCTGAGTTGTGTACGCTTTTTTTTTTTTTTTTTTTTTGGTAGAAGAGTTGTGTACTTTAACAATAATGTCTAACCAGAAAAAGTGGACAGGCTTACACTGTATAAACAACCTTGAATGTGATTAACTAGTGGTGATAGTGATCAAAATAGTGATGTAGAACTCTAGTTTGACCGCCTAGATTCCTTTGGAGTAGTACAAATGCAGAGAACTTACTTTCAAAATTAAGGTTAACTTTGCAGACAAAAGGATGTCTATTCGGATTAAAAAAGATTGATGATTGAAACATGTATAGGAAACTTTGCAGGAAAGTGAGTTAAAGCAAGTGGAACTCCGTGTGGCAACAAAGGAAAGTGTCACAAGTACTACCATATATTGCATTTGATATTTCGTGAATTAGATAGATTAAAGTGCTTGCTCCATTCTTGATTGAATATCTGTCTTGGACTTGTAGTGAAAGAGACCTGCAATTGTGGAGCCAAGGCTTAAAGAATTCTAGGATTAAACTGGAGAATTATAGCTAGAACTGCGTGACTTTCAAATTTAAGAAAAATTGAAGTGGGATTAATAAATGGTCGATCGAAACAAGTCAACTAGGAAGACTCAAAATTAAGGGACAGAGAGCAATTATAAGTACCAATGGAGACGCTTATGTGATTGTACTGAGAAATTGCAGTCTATACTGCCTGATACTATCTATCTTGGGACTGCAAGCAACAATGAATGAAGCCTTCCTATAGCAGTCAAAATCTCAAAAAAGATGGAAAGAAAGAAAGAAGATGAAGATGGAATGAGTTTTAGATTACTGGACGGGACATGAAAAGAAATAAAAATAAAAAAAGGGTCTTTCGACATGATAAAAATGTCCCTAAATCTTTTTCATGACACAGTTCCACTGTCCGACATTTCCAAAGTTCTCTTTTGAGTATTATTAAAGCGTGACTTGTTGAGTACTATCTCCTTTGCAATGAAAGTCAATGGCAATCTTCCAACAGTACGTAAAATGATGCGAACAGTTTACACACTGGGATTTAGAAAGCTAGTGGCCGTCCTGTCCAAAATGTACTCGAGTGTCCCACCAAAAAAGAAGAAGAACAAGAACAAGAAGAAAATATGAAGTTGAAAAAAACAAGTTTAATTCTATGAAGTTGAAATAAGCATAGTTATTAAACCAGGGCCATGGGTTGGATGGATTAGCAATTCAAATGCAACATTACGATTCAACCAACCGGTGGTTATATAACATCATAAAATAATATATTTAAATTACTAAAAACAATATATATGTTGAATTGGTGGTTGAATCAATTGTTGAACCAAAGGTTTTTCTATATTTTGCCTATTGAGCTGGCGAGTAGTTAATTGGCTAATAGGTTTTTTTTTTTTTCCTTATTTGATTCAATTACTAACCTAGTCTGTTCAAGTAATTAGTTCATCGAGTTAACCAATTAAACTGCCGAATCGGGCTGAGTTAAGAATACCACATAGCATTCATATTGTTGCTATTGAAATTTGTTCCAAGAATAATTACACAAATTGTCAAGGCAAAATTAGCCCTTTCAAATCAACCTATGACCATATTCGATTTGACATAAAATGTATAATTTTAGTATTTTTCAAAAACTATCATGACATTGAAATTTGAGTTTTTACAATAATATCAATCAATTGTTAAGGACGAACATATATCTCTTATGATACTAAAACAATCCAAAGAAATAGATGGTAGAAAACAAGATACATGTGACTTGTTAGCATGAGAAAGTAAGTTAGCATACTTGAATTTGCTCATTCCAAAACCGCCCCATGATCCACTCATGCACACATGCACATCACATACGATCAGTCAAAAACATAAGCACAAAAGAAGAAAAGTTGTTGTTGACTTCTTTTGGCTTATCCGAGTAGCATCGTTTTTTCAGATCTGCTAGCGTATTTAACCGTGTACGGCTTCCAGGTTCTGAGCCCATGTGTGGCTGTAGGAAGAAAGCTAATATTGCACATGGAAATGGAAACACCTGGGGACAGAAAGCGACTTGCCATTGGTCATTTGGTCCAGCGGTCGTCACCATCTTTGGTGATGCTGGAGGTCAGGGGTTCAATCCCTGCCTCTCACAAATTTGTCACTTTACGTGGTTGGTCTTCAGTCCCCACGGAATAGCTCGAGCGGTCCGCTCCCCCTCCTTAGGGTATGGCGACCTTCCTGACTTGTCCAGGGTTCGAGTCCCGTTGTTAATGTGCTCGGTGTCAGGGGATTGTCGAGCCCCGTAAGGATTGATTTCATACTCCTGTGTTGACAAAAAAAAAAAAAAAAAAGAACAGAAAAGCTACCGGACTGTCTCGAGCGGTCCGCTCCCCCTCTGTAATAATATCACTCAGCGCCCCTGCTCTGGACCCCCTGTGTTGACAAAAAAAAAAAAAAAAAAAGGGACAGAAAGCGACCGGACTGTCTAACTGTGCCAAAATTTTTAAGATTATAATTTAGAGTTAATTTCAGAAACCTCACCTGAGGTTTGTAATCGGTTTGTTTGGATAGGGTATTATTTGAAATATTATTTAAAATAATTATTATAGTACTTTTTTTTTGTGATGTGATGTATGTGAGATAAAAAGGTGATTGAGAATATAAAAAGGTGGGTTAGAAAATGTGTTTATGATACAAACAAAATATTATTTGGGATAATAAAGCTATCCTGAAATGGAAATGACATGCTGTGTATCATTGTAAGTTTTTATATGTAGAAGTATTATTGTTAAAAAATATATTGGAATGGAAGAGATTTTTCCTCATCTATCCTTACATGATCTAACTCATGATTTTTATAATAAGAATCGAAAACTGTACAAGGATGAAATACTATTAAACTAAGAATTTGAGGAAGTATAGGTACAACAAAATAATACATTTGGTTTAACAAACTAGCCGTACAACCATATATTATTTTAACGATAACTTCTGTAGCTCCTTCAACGGTATAAAAAAGCTTGAAAATAAAAATAGGGCAAAAATTAAGCAGCAAAGGGGCAAAGTATATGAGCAAACGGAAGAAGACTGATAACACAATACGAAAAGTTTAAGCATAGGAGAATCTTATAATTAATTCACCAACATCATCCAATTGAAACATTGATGTTTCGAACGTAATTACAACGTGACATTTGTAATTTTTTAAACTGACAAGAATCCAAATCGGCGGCATTGCAAAATGCAATTTCTTTCATTGGTATGGTGTAAAAATGATGCCCTGAGTAACCACAGCAAGAAGGTAGTCACGCTATGCAAAAGGGACATGTATCGAAGTTACAAATTCGACAAGCATCATACTTTGTAACAGGACACGAATGTATTTCTTTTCCCAACTTTTTCCTTCTTGAAAAGTATTTAGACTTTGAGAGTCTCGGATTGGGACATCCAGTCACATTATAGTACCGTTAGCAAGAGATTCATGAGATTTTTGAAATTTAAGAGGAGCTAAGTGATATTATTGTGAAAAATCTCAGAGATACTTTTTTAAAATTAATCCTACAATTTATACCTGTGCTACGTGTTGTCTTTCTTTTTTCAACAGCCTGAATCAGACTTTTGTTGTTTTATAAACCTAATCCCAGAATTAACCTCA